CATGGACATATATACACTACCAAACGTAAGGTAGATAGCTAGTGGGAAGCAGCCGCATAGCACAGGGAGATCAGCTCGGTGCTTTGTGACCGCCTGGAGGGGTGGGATAGGGAGGGTGGGAGGGAGGGAGACACAAGAGGGAAGAGATACGGGAACATGTGTATATGTAGAACTGATTCATTTTGTTATAAAGCAGAAACTAACACACCATTGTAAAGCAATTATACTCCAATAAAGATGTAAAAAAAAAAAAAAAGAAAATGAAATTTCAGGCCTGTTTTCTGTTTGGAGACCAAGTGTCTGGGTCCACAAAATCACAGACACTCATGGATGGCCCTCCCTCCAACACTGTCCTGGATGCCAACAAAGCTTTGTACGGCCCACCTGACTACTGCCCTGGCCACGGTGCCCCATACAGTGGGACACTTGAAAATGCCTCCAGTCTCTCCAGAACTCATGGTGCAGTGCGATCCTCAGTGCTGGGGACCAGCTGGTGCTCATATTGGATGGAAAGGGGGTTTAGAATGAAAACTGAAACCAGGGATCCGATATCTCTGGGTACCAGAGACGCCAGACTTCACTTCCCCAGCTGGGTGGTCAATTCCATAAGGACCCTGGTGAGGAGGGATCGGAAAGCCCGGACGGGAGTGCCAGTGCCACCATTTATGAACTCTGTGACCTGAGTCTCACGTTTCTTATCTATAAAATGTGGGTCTGCACCTTTGTTTTGATGAATAAATGACAATATGTGGCTTTATAAATTCTTTACTTATTATCCTGCATAAATAATGAATGTGCATATTTATCTTGCTAAATAAATAGACGGTGGCTCTTCAGTTTTAGATCCTGACAAGTCCACAACCTACTGAGTCTATTGTATTTCTTGGTCGGGTTGGAAGCAGAGAGAACAGTGCCTGGAGAGGGCTCTGGGTCCAGGTAAACCCAGCAGAGGGTGGACCTTGTGAGGGTGTCTCCCCCTTCTCCTTCACCCTGGGGATTACTTATTTATCAACTAGTGAGTGCAGGTTCATGCACCTGTAAATAAATCATGCTCTCAGCGATTCTCCCTTGCCCAGAGCATGTGGACCCTGACACCCGGGGAGGGACATCTGGACCCAGCCTGAAGCCCCCGTCTGGTTCCTCGTCCTCACCCGGCTCCTCTCCTGCCACCTGTCACTCACACGCGCCCGCTCAGCCTGCAGGCTGCCTTGGCCGCCTCTGCCCTGGCTGCCCCTCTGCCCACATCAGCTTGCAGACCGTCTAGAATCTCCCCACGCCCCTCCCCATCCTGCCCACCAAGACGCCGTCTAGCACAGGGCTTGTCCTTTTCATTCCTAAGTCCTGAGCCCACCTGGTCCCACAGTATGGCTTTAATTTATGTTGGGCGAACACATGAAAGGTCGAAGAAGCTGCGGGGAGAGAGAATGAATGGACTTCCTTCCAGGCCTCCCGGCAAAGCAGCTGCGCAGCCAGAACCCCAAACCGAGAAACCAGTTCCTACCTGGAGCTTTCCATCGAGTCAGGCTAGCTGGGGCCTGGCTGTGCTTCTGGGGCGGGGAAGCCACGTTTCGCGGGGCCGCGGCGTCATCTCCTTTGGGATCGCCCTCCGCCCGCAGGGGCGCGACCTGCTCGCCACGGGGACGCTGCCCTCGCGCCCAGCTGGGACCGCTCTCCCTGCTTGTGGATGAGGCAACAGCGCCACCTGCTGGCCTTGAGGCCCCGGCCGCGGCCTGCCTCCGGAAGTCTCGGGCGCCTTCTGGTGGGCATTCAGAAGATGCAGCGCAAAAGTGGCCTGGTTACCCCCAGGGCGCCGAGAACCATGATGTCCCTGGGGCCTTTTCCACCTTTGATGTTTGAGCCATGCTATGGGCCCGCACTGGAACCAAGCCTAGAAAGCAAGGCTTTATAGCAACTTAGGATGCAGACGATCAGAGCCGTATGATGGAACAAGTTTCCAGACACAGATGACATGGCATGCTCTCTGGTGACAGAAGGTCCACACAGCTCCCCCAAGTGGCACATAGAGCCGTGGGAAAGGCGGTGGTGGTGAGAAAGAATTGTGGAGGCATTGGGAAGTAAAAAGAAGTGGAGGGAAAGGAAGGGGTGCTATTCTGACCTCCACACCCCTCCTCCAGGACTGAAATCACCAAGGAGGCCATTTGAGAAGAGCAGGCTGCAGTGTAGACAGCCTCTCCCCAGGAGGAGGTCTGCAGCATGTCCAGTTACCCTTGTCTGAGCCCTTCAGGAACACACCCGGCCCTGAGTGTCCCCTTGTCGCTGTCCTATTACTGCCGATCATTGTTGGCTCTGCTGGAGCTCAGCCGCCCTCGGCTCCTGTGTCAGCCATGTAAGCATCTCAGAGGCTTGGGAACGCGAGCCCAGCTTGAAATATACTTCCCTGAAGGGCTTATTTTGTTTTGGGACAAGTCTCATGCCAGTCTGTTCTGCCAAGAAATGATTGGTGTTGAACCGTTGGTTTCCATTGCTGTCAAACACAATCTTACACGGAGAGTAAGGGGGCAGTCACTCTGGAGGGCCAGCTGGGAAAGAAGGCTTCTGACTGGCTGGGACTTTCTTAGAAGCCCCTGGAGAATTTTTTTTTTAAAGGAACATCTGGAATGGCTGATGTCCGATGAGCAGGACACTTTTCCAGTGGGTCCTGTCCATCTAAAGTGGCTGCAGTCAGACTCCACAGGTGTCCAGGGAGAAGGGTGAACAGAGGCCCAGAGCCCCAGCTTAGCTTTGGGCACAGGCTTGGATTTCCTCTATTCCAAATGCAGACAGTCCTGCAGGGTCCCGCCTAGCACACAAAGGTCGGGAAGAATGCAGAAGCAATGTCCCAGTGTTTGTGCAGGTCTTAGGTGACTGAAGGGCGTCTGGACAACATTGGTAGAGAAGCTTGCTTTCCATTCATGCCTCTTAAGACACCTGAAGGTGTGAGGAGGTGAAATTTGACGCTGCTGGCCTTGTTCTCGTGTTTGTTTTGTTTTTCATCCTCATACAACTTAATGGAATGCAAAACTGGTAGAAAATTCATAGCTCAGAATCTGTTCAGATGAATCGTCCCGTCAGACCCTGTTTTGGGAAGAGCTGACGGTTGGTTAGAAGTCAAAGACACTGACTTCGTGAGTGTTCACTGCATTCATTCTCCCTCCCTGGGCCTCAGTTTCCTACTCTGTACAGTTGGGGGCTGACTGACTTTCAAGGACCTTTATAGTTCTGGTGCTCTTTGGTTCTTTAAAATGAAGCCTCATATCATGCCGTGGTTGACTACCCATCACATTCTCATGCACAATGGTCCTTACTTTACCAAGGAATGTTCATCTGCTCATGCATTTCCCCACCCATTCATTCAGCAAACAGTGAGTGCCTGCAACGTTCTGGCACTGCTGTGGGCACCAAGGACAAGCTGGGAATAAAGCGAGGTCCTGGCTCACCTGGAGCTTGCAGTCTTGTGCGGGTCAGTCACACACAATAAAAAAAAAATCTAAACATGTGTAGCGTCGTGTACTGTCCTGCAGCGTGAGATAACGTAATGACAGCCAGCTGGTAATAAGTGCTAGGAAGACAAAGCGGACAGGGGTCGTGGGATGAGGAAAGCTGTTTTCTAGACAGCGTGATCAGGAAAGTCCTCTCTGAGAAGAGAAGGTGGCATTTGGCAAGAGACGACGGATGAGGGCGTGAGAACTGCACGTCCAGGCAGGCACGCGGGCAGGAGGGCCGCACAGAGGCCGGACGCGAGTGTGCTGGGCCTGGCGGGGGGAGATAAGGAGGCTGCACGTGGGAAAGGAGGCTGCATCCCTGGATCCCATTTTGGGTTTTGATACCAAGTGTGATGGATGCCATTGAAGCTGGTGTGTTCTTGAGTCAGTGTTGTGAGCATGCCTCCCGGCACTGGGGGCACCGAGAGGTAAACTACAGTCTCCGCGTGCGAGGGCCTCGAAGGCGCCCGGGTGCCCACATGTGGCGGTAACGGGCGGTGGCAGGAACTGTGTGCGGGATGGAAGCAGCGGTGCAGGCTCCCGCCCTCGAGGAGCTCCGCCTAGGGCCTGGAGGCTGGGCGCTCCGTGCTGTGCCCATCAGGAGGCATGGCCCGGACCACCGAGAAGCGGCTCGAGCAGCCGTCTGGAAGGAGTCAGTGGGGCAGAGGCAGGAGTGGGAGGGACTCGTGTGGGCAATGGCTGGGCTGCCACAGCGGTTCTCACGGCAGAGGTGGCGGAGTGAGTGAGTGAGCAGGCTGGCCAAGGAGGCCAGGGCCCGCCCGCACTCCTCCCCGAGCTGCACGGGAAGGGGCAGATCCCCACCCAGAAGGTCATCACGACTGAGCGGCCAGGCCCTGCTGCCCTCTCTTGTGCACAAGCGGTGCATGGTCCCCCTTGAGGCCTCGGCCCCTCCAAGTGCTGAAAGGGATGGTTCCTCATAGACCACCAGGCCCCACCTGCCCTGCGGGTGAAGCCGTCGCCCCCAAGGGCCCAGCTAAGGAAGGATAGCAGCTCAGCGTGGCCGTGAGCCCACGCGTTTCATCGTGTGACCGGCCGCTCCCTGCATCTGACTGAGCCCTCCAGATGCTCAAGGGCCTCCCGACCAGGGACCGCCTTTCTGTGAACCAATGTGATTGTCCAAAAGTGAGCCTGTCTGCACCTAGGCCTGTGTTTCCCCGTGTCTGCTTCTGGGCGGGAAGAGTTGCAGGACCCCAACTTACTGGGCACAGATCGGAGCCTAGGGCCTCCGGCCGTCTGTCCGCTGAGAGTTGGGACATGCAACACTCCCGGGACCAGCCGTCTTGAGCCGGGGCTGCCAGCAGCACGCCGGTGCCTGCCCGCTGCCACCGGCCATGAGATAATGTCTCTCCATTTTGGGACTGTGACATAGTTACATCAGACCTCAACGGCCAGTGCGCACATTCCAGGCCTGAGACCAGGGTGGCAGCAGAGAAACCTGAGCTGTGAGGAGACATTCTTAGGCTCAAAAATCACAAACCCGAGACGGAAAGGCACTTGATCAGAAAACAACACCATTCAGGTTATTTTAATGCCCTGGATTTGTGCTGCCCTTTAAGTGGAGCCCCTTCTGCTGCGGGACTCTGGTGCTGAGTGACCCTGGGCCAGATGACTTTCCCTTGTCGTTAACTGAAGAATAAGGTCACGTCTGGCTGGGTGCGCTCCCCGAGTTGTGGTTCCGTCTGCGTTTTCCATGCGCACACCTTGCTCTCAGACGGTGGCACAGCCCAGGTTCTGAGGCTCAGCGGCAGCCGGCCTGGTGTGAGTATACAGAGAACTCTCTTCCCTCCCCCAAGACAACTCCTGAAACTTCTCCCCTTGTCAAGCACTGTGGTGTTGAACGCCATCTGGGCAAGTTCTCTGACCACCTGAACCTGCAGCCAAGGCGTAGGGATGATTGTCACCTACTCGGAGAGTCCACCACCAATCCCTCAGACAGTCCGTCCATTCGTGAATTAAGCACTGTTTGTGTCCCTGCTGAGTCCTGAGCATTTGCTACGTGCAACGGAGAGTACAAAGCCACAGACAACATAGGCCGTACTCGCAAGAGGTACATAATAAAAGTGCAAAAGACAAAACTTGTACGCAGAGAGTCAGAAACCAATGGTCCAGAATCAACTAGTCTGGCACCAATGAAAATGGCAAGAGGAAGGAAGAGAAGAGAGACTTTTCCAGTGGACACTTGGCCTGAGCGAATGCTGGGAGGTAGGAGGGCGAATCACCATAGCAACAAGTCACCCTGAGCCTTGTCTCTTAAGACTGAAGGAAGAAGGCCTTTCCCCAGGACAGTGGGAGTGTCTGCCTTCAGGCTGTCAGCAACACTGGATGAGAGAGCTTGGTCTATACACTTCTGAAACTTTAGAGGGTTGACACCCTGCCCAGAGCAACGGGAAGCAGCTTTGTTTAATGGAGTTCCAGGAGATGTTAGCTCTGGACCCAATAAACGGAGACTTGGATGAGCTTTTCACTGAAATGTGGATGGCCTTACATTCTGGTCTGCACGCTGAGGATGACACCAGTGGGGGCAGTGGAAATATCCCTGAGCTGGAAGCTGGGGGACTCGGGTTCTAGTCTTGGCTTCGGCAATGAAAACGACAAACATTTATTATGCACTGTATGCTAGAGCTTGTACTAAGGATCTTAAGTGTAACCCCTTCTCCCGCCTGTTCTCTGTGAGGAGAGTTCCATTCTATTCCCATTTAATGAATGAAAAAACGAAGGCGCGGAGATTTTAAATCACCTACCGAAGGACACAGAGCTGATCAGTGGTGGAGCTGGGATTCACACCTGGTTGTCGGTAATCCCTGTGCTGCTGCCTCTTGAAAATGGGTGACTGATCTTGGGCAAAAGTTTCTTTTTCAGTAAAATGAAGACACGAATAACTCCCCCAAATTACCTTAAAAAGTGATTGTCAAGATCTAAATAAAACATTGGATATGAAATACTTCATAATTGAGAAAGTCCTATACATGTGTAAAGTATTACATTCCTCAGAGGAATGATGAAAAGATAAAATGGAAGAAGAGCTGATGGAAAAGACTCCAGAAAAATGAAAAGCAAAAGTGTGTACTTTGATGATCAACCCGAGACAGGCTAATTGGGGATGAATAGGTCCTTGGACTGCATGGAAGTCCGGGGGTGTGGCTTATTCCTCAAAGCTGTCTGGTAGCCTTAATCCACGTGCTTTTGGAAGGCCTAGAGAGGGAGAATGGAGGACAGGGACTTTTACTCTAGGAGTCCAGAGAAAGTCAAGACAGTCCTTCAGAGGCAAAGCTACATTCTTTCCTCCCTCACTTTCATCATGCTTCGTTCGTTCGTTCCTTCCTTCCTCAAACTGAGACCCAAATGAAGTGGAAGAAAATCTCTACTGAGATAAGAGTCAAGATGAAATATAATCATTCGTTCATTTTGATGACAAACATTCAGAAAGCATCATCACTGTTCCAGAAACTGGCCAGGAACTGGAAGGCACAGTCTTTGCTCTCTAACTGATGTGACAGAGCTGGACAGGCTTTCATCCAATATCCAGCCCATCCTCTGTATGGAAAGAAAGAAAGAAAAGTCCAGGGAAGTGAAGAGGTTTGTTCAAGGTCACCGTGCCCAGGCAGATGTGTGTTTCCTCCCCATTTCAGACATTCCCTTCTGGGTGGATTTGGGGTGAGGGAGGGGGAATTTGTTCACAATCCATATACTGCCCTGTGACAACAATTCCAAAGAATGCCAGGTGATGTTTTTAAAGCTCACCTTTGAAATGGTTCTTTCTCTGCCTGTATATGCCTGAAGAGTTGAATAGGAACAATCCACATAGGGGTCTCATGGACTATCGATCGCCTGCTTTCCCGTGTCAAGGAGTGCTTCCCTGTAAGACTGAGATCAGCACCCACGTACACGGAGTTGTGTGTTCCTGTGAGATGAAACAGTCAGTTACGGCCACTGAACACCTAACCGGTCCCCGTGGAGCTGACTCTCCGCTCCTCTCCCGTCTCACCTTCCCTTATCACGTGCTGGTGGCCGAATCTCCCCCCCCCCCCACTGCAAGATAATTCACATCCTCTGGTGTCACCGCTCCCTCCCACTTCAGTTCAGCATTATAAACAAGACAAGATGTAATAAAAAGGTAAAAAAGGACAAACAAAAATACCTTTCACCAGGGGCTGGGTGGGGGACTAGAGAGTACCTCTGTCATTGGGGGAAAACAACACCCCTTCTTAGTCCAGAATTCATCAGATTCCTCCTATGGTGATAGAGAGGTCCTTTCACCCCAGCAACCAGGAGGCTCCAGCTGGACATGTGCTTCTGAGATGGGTCCTGGCTAAGGGCCGCCAGTCTGGGGCCTGCTTCTGGGGACGTCGGCACCTCCGATGAGACGGTCAGCCTGAGAGGCATGGGAGGTAGGGCCCGGTTTACTGCTGCAGCTATGAAACCTACTCAGACAGCCTCCTCCCACACTGATCTGAGAAGCTGGCAGATCTTTACAGCGGGGGTGCTGACAGACGTCTAAGGCTTCACCTCTGCTCAGTGGAAGGTTCCTGCTGTCATCTGGCATTTAAGGGGGGTTGCAGGGGTGTGGCTCCATTGTGGGCAGGAAGATGGAGAGAAAATTAATTGCCAGATGGTGTTGAGGATTCCAAGTCTACCAGAAGAGAAAGAAAGACATTACTCACTGACACAAGAAGGCTGCCAACTCCACTTACAGATCAAGCCTTTGTGTGCAGGCAAAGTCTGTCCTGAGCCCGTGTGAGAGGATGAAGGAACCAGCCATGGCCTCTGAGAATTTGTGAGACGACAGAATATTTAAGGGGAAACTAGGGAGATGCCACGGTGTAGTAGTTGGAGAAATCACAGTACGCAAGACAATCTGCCCCCAAGGGCTCTACAGCTGCTGGAGAGGACAGACGGGCACGTCCTCAGGGGCAGGTCAGGACAGACCTACTCCAGGTGCAGCTCCATGAACACAGCTGGATACAGTCCAAGCAAGGTGTGCTGAGCCCAGCCAATTCAAGGGAAACTTCTGTTTCATTACGTTTCAGTTCTTAAAAAGGAACCTCTTCATTACACATTGCTTCTCAGGGCAGCAGGTAAAAGGCACACAGAACTATGAACAGATACAATCAGCAACCACTTCTGCTTTTACATGGCATCTTTCCCACTTGAGCATTAATTATTTGGCATTTTCTCCCTGCTTTTCAGAAAGTTTTCTCTAGGAGGTTGAACGTACAGAGATGATTTAAGGGAGAGGAAAGCTTCAGCAGTATCTCCAGAGGCTGTTTTGCATTTTCTAATGTCTGAAGTTTTTACAACAGGTTTTCCATGGAAAACTCAACAAGTCACTAAACTCTCTGAGTCTCAGAACCCAGACTTAAAGTCAGGGGAAGAGATTCCCATGGCTAACCTTTCTAGTCATCTGTCCTGCCAGTTTGGACTGCCATAACAAAATCCCACAGGCTGGGTGGCTTCAACAGAAATTTATTTCTTGCGGTTCTGGAGGCTGAGAAGTCCAAGGTCAAGATGCTGGCAAGGTAGGTTTCATCCTGAGGCCGTTTCTCTTGGTTTGTAGGTGGCCACCTTCTCACTGGGGGCCCACGTGACCTCTTCATGTGCGTGAGGAGAGGAAGCTCTGGTGTCTCTTCATGCAAGGGCACTAATTTCATCATGGGGGCTTCCATCCTCATGACCTCGTCTAAACCTAACTACCTCCCCCTGGCTCACCTCCTGATACCATCACACTGGGGGCTAGGGCTTCAACATAAAAATTCTGCGGTGGGAGGGACACAAGTATTTTGTCTACAACATTGTGTGAATAGTTTGGAACATGTAAAGAAAGCATTTATGAAAATGTTTAATCTTAGGGTCGATGGTTATTCTGATTTCACAGAAGGGAATACTAGGGCAATCTTCCTCATAGAATATCAAATATGGAGTCAAGTATAAGAAATATCATACATTTAAGGTTTACCTGTAATTTTAAGTTGATGTCCATATTAATTTATCATAGAGACAATTAGACTAGTGGGACAGCCGAGTCAACCCACAAAGACTGGTAAGCTGATACAGGAGAAAAATTTAAGGAATAAAGAGAGAGCAATTTTTGAGTTGCATAAGAAAGGAAAAATGACAGAGCTTTGAAGTCTTTATAAAAAAATTTTTTTCCTGTTATTATTTACTTAGTTTGGTTTTTAAGAAAAGGGTTTCAGAAATAAACACAGGAAAGGATTGGGTGAAGCAAACTATTGGTCCAAGGCTGCCTGCTATGAACAAGACTAGATGAGGAAAATTTCTATCACTTGGGAAACATCTACAGAAACCCTAATCTTATATAGATCTCAGGTCACTCCACTCCAGCAGTGGGCATTCTCCACATCCCAAACCTCAGGACGCGGAGCCTGCTGAAACACAAGCTCTCACTCACCTCAATCCTCTCCAGACTGCTAGAAGGAGGTGCACAGCCCTGCTCTCCAAGCACTGAGGCCACGAGTATTACTGCCGTCTCCACACATGCATACTTATCTCCCCTCTTATGCGTCCAGACAAGCTCTCGCCTTGTAAGCAAATGCCGTATGCCACTCACAAGCCCATATCTGTGCAAGGCACACACCTGTACATGGGGGAAAATTCTGTTTCAAACATTAAAACAACAGCTTCTATCTCATCCAAACAGATCGCTGAAAAGGAAACTTTCTGGGTCCTCACCCATATGCAGGATATACAAAGCTGTCTGGAACAGATCTGGTATTAATTACCTAGTGCTCTACACTGGAATAAGTGCTTAATCCCAAGGAGGTTTACACTGGAGACTGACCAACCTGCCCTGGGGTGGATACACAACCAATCTTGGCTCCAGAGACTATTCCACATCATGTGTTGTGCAAATGTGCACTGGCACAGGAATGGACTTCATTCCTCAGCAGATGGGATCCTTCTTCCGCGGGCCGACTCTTAAGATAATATATGACCCAAGCACTACATTGTCTAGAGCTTCCTACTTTTCACGAAATGCATCACTGTCTTAATTCTCAGACTGAACTTCTTCCTCCTTTACCTGCACTTGCCCTCTTTCAAGTCGTGGCCTGGAGGCTCCTTCTGGGGCCCAGAAACAGCAGGCGACTTTCATGTTGACCTGCAGCTAATTTGGATGTCTTAGGTTCCTAAGTTTTCATTCTGATGGCAGCTGCCCAGTTTTGATCTGTGTTTGGGCAAAGAGTTGCAGCAGCAAACTTGGTGGGGAAGAGAGCAAACACCTGTGAGAGTGAAGCGGCATTTATGCTAGGCTTCCTTTTCTTCCTGGTTATTACTGTGTCTCTGAAGAGTTTTCCTTGCCGTATCTTAGACATGACTTAAACTATTAGTGAAGGTGTGAAATAGAGAATTTTGGATCTGGGACCAAAGGATTTCCAGAAAGCAAATGGGAGAGAAAGTTGTCTTTCTCTTCATGGAAACTGCATTCCTTACAAATCTGTGTCTGGGGCAGGAAGAAGTTGAGAATATTTCTTGCAGGCAGATTTTTGTTTTGTCTTCTGATCCCAGTGCGGTAAAGAGTAGGTGAAGGTGGGGACTTGGAAAGTAAACAGGGCACGCTGGGTGTTTTTGTGGCTGGATCATTTTAGAAACCATTTTCAAATCAGGACCAATTTTCTTTAAAAAGCGTATAGTTTTAGAACCTTACGGCCTACATACTTAGATGGCAAACAGCACTCTTATAAAACTGTGTGGGTTTTGGCGATAGAAAAATGAACTTCTTTCACTTGATATTTGCTTTAGAATAAAGATATAAGCTCCTAAAAAGGAAAACCTGGCTTCGCCTCATCCCTTTCTCCATCTTTTGTCCCCAGCAAATTCTTCTTTCATTCAACTTATTCACATACTTTACCTCCTAAGAGTTGATAAGCATAATAGTCTTTAATTAAACGAGCTTCAGTATTTATTTTGCACTAGGTAGATAAAAGGGTTGAGAAGGCACTGGGATATAACGGGAGTAGAACAGATACAATGTTCGTTGCCCTTGAAGAATTATAACCTCTTGCTGAAGACCCCACATGTATGCACAAGGACCTGAGAGGCAGCGTGTTGATAGGTAACTCTGAGTGGCACAATCAGATAAAGCTTTAAGGAGAAGGTTGACCTTGAATGGCTCTGACAGATAGAGGGTGCCCACCCACGCACAGCTGGAGGAAGGAAGGGCATCTACCTGGAGAAAGGGCATGGGCCAAAGGACAGAAGCAGGAGAGAGCAGAACACTGGCCCCTAGACTTCTGTGAAACTATCTCATCCAACTTCCTGGCTAAACCAACTCCATAATACATTCTGTCCCCAAGTAAAAGTCCTACTGCCAACCAAGCCCACATGATTCTCCTAGCGACACATGAAGCCTTAATGAACGGTGCCCTCACTGTTCTTGAAAGAATCTGGTTTGTCATCACTATGTTGAATTTGGACTCTGTGTATTTGTAAAGGATATAAACTCTAAAGAAAGAGCTGTTTTTTTTCCTCAATAAGGTCTGTCTTCCCTAATGGCAAGATATGAAATGAAATGCAGACATTTTGCTAAATCATGGTAAATCCTTCTGACAGCTACAGGGGCAGAATGATTCTTTATCAAGGGTCACAGACAAAAGGGCTGATGCCCCAAGCTTACAGATCACCACACAATGCTATACCCAGCACAGAGAAGTCACAGCTTCTGTGGTCACGATAGTGCCTTTATCTGCAATCTCAGACTTTTGTGTTTATCTGTCTTGGTCTTTATCCCCCATTGATTAATCCAAGTGTCTGGAAGTAAGTATGACCCACTCTCCATTGGTCATAATAATATAGTGCAACAGTAACAGGGAACATATGGAGAAGAAAAAAACGTCGAAGTGTGCTCATGACCACATGTAAAATAAACAACAAGGATTTCCTGTATAGCACAGGGAACTATATTAAATATCTTGTAATAAACTATAATGAAAATAATCGAAACATTAAAAATGGATATACACATATATACGTATAACCAAATCACTTTGCTGTACACCTAAAACTAACAAACATTGTAAATCAACTACACTTCAACTGAGAAAAAGTCAAGGTGTGGATTATTTATATATAAGCCGCAGATTTACCTCCTTAACCTTTGTGGCACTTTAATACCAAAATTAGCTTGCATTTCCTAAACGAACATTGGTGAGAAAGAGGCCTATCTGGGATTAAAATGAGTAGATAATGTCACTTAGGAAACGTTTTCTAAGTTTGGATCTTGATTCTATTACTTTTCTTTCATTCCCCTCCAGCCCTCCACACCCAGAAGCAGTGTGCCAGTGGCCCCTAGAGAAGCGCCTGTGGGTGAGGTCTGCAGGATCAAGATGTGTGGGGAAACCAGACTCTGTCCTGCTGGTGAAGACGTCAAAGCCAGGAGTAGTTCTCTGTATCCTATCACTTGCTTGTGTGCACTTCCAGAAAAGCCGAGTTCACAGGTACTTTCAGACCAGAGACAGGTGGGAGTGCGCGGAACGCGGCAGGAGGGCTCAGCGAATCTGAGAAGAGTGCAGTGCACGTGCCACGGGGGCTGCTGGCGCCCGAACTTCCTCCACCGCTTCGTGCTGCCTCTGCTTCAACCCCGCTGCTCCTGGCTCACGGCCGGGAAACGTTATGATG